GCCATGGAGTCAATGCCACAGCCCACTCCTGTCGGCCGCTGGTCTCATCTAAAGCCTTATGTTGATGGCGAGTTTGTATTATACCCTGAGAAGAAGGGTCAGGAAGACGGCGCCAACGATGACACGACTCCTGAAGGGAAGGATACCGATATGGAGCCTATGGTGGACGATCAGGATGACGCTGCAGACGGTGGGGGCCTCGAAGCACCTACTCCAGCACTGAATACTCCCACGCGCGGTTCACCTGTGCCAGACTCGACAGACCCTACAGCTTTCAATTCACCCGCTCCTGGTGGAGACGATGGTGATGACGCTGACGTCTCTGAATCTCAGGAAGTTCCAGAACGTACACGTTATTACAAATATAGAAAGCTCAGAGATCCTGAGGAGTACATCTCCACTCTCGAGAACTACGAGGACATGTCTACTGAAGATCTATACGAACTTCTCGAGGCCGTCAATGTCTCCATGGTCCAGTGGCAGGACGAATGGAATGAACTGGGCACTATTGTTGACGATTACGAGAACTCTCTTCGTCGACGCGCTGCCGATGCCAAGTACGAAGCCCGTACTCGCAACCTCAACCAACATGGTCTCAACTACGAAGAACCTGAATTCTCTGTCAAGGGTTACAAGTCTCGTGACAAGGAAGGCTTGACCGAAACTCGCTACCTTCAAGGCCAAGATCGCATCATGGCTGCTACCTACGGCTTTGAATACGATCCTCACCCTTCCAAGATTGGCAAGCAAAACCCCGAGACCCAACAGGTCGGTATCATGACGCGAGGACGATCTCTGCGGAACCAGCCCCGACAGACCGCTAAGGCCACTGAGACGGACGAGGTGGTCGGCAAGCGCCAGCGCAAGCCTGTCCAGCTGTTTGATCCTGCTACACAAGATATCAGTCGAAGCTCGACACCTGTGCCATCCACTCGTGGTGGTGGTGGCCGACGACGCAAGAACGCCAATGCTGAGGATGAGCCTCAAACCAACCTTTCAGTCAGCTTCAACACTGAAGCCGCCTCAGATAATGAGACTTCGGGTCCCAAGACCAGACGTAAGCGTGGCACTCGTGGCAAGAACGCCGTTGCTGCCGAGGAGGCTGCCCCTACACCAGAAGCCGAAGAGCCAGTCCAAGAATCACCTGCAAAGCCTACTCGCCGTGGCCGCGCGAGACCTGCTGTCAAATACGAGGAGGCCGATCCCAATGAGTTCGTCGATGATGAACCCCAGGAGGAAGAGGAGGAAGTGCAGGAAAAGGAAGAGAAGGCACCTGTGCGCCGAGCACTGGTTACTCTCAAGCTCCCCAGAGCCTACTATAACGATGTCACGCCTGAAAACGAGATCACCGACAACGGCGAGTCTCGCCCTACCACCGCCTCTTCTGAAGACTCTGGCCATACTGTTGAGTCATCTTATTCTTTCCGACCCAAGCGACAGAAGCGCTTCCGGGATGATCCTAATGGAGCTGAAGAGTCGGCTCAGGCACCGCCTAAGAAGAAAGGCAAGCGAGCAAGCGGTGGCACTACCACCGCGGAGGTTCCATCTACTGCTTCTACACCCGCTCCGTCTGTTGAACCGACACAGGCCACCAACAACCGCAAGATTCAAAAGATCAAGGTTGTCAGGTCTGGTCAGGATGTCAAGAATGGAGGGACACCCGCGCCTCCGCCACCTCCTCCTGCTGCTAGTCCAGCACCTCCTCCTGCTCCTCCATCTGTTCCGATGGAAGACGGTGATGAGACACCCAAAGATTACAAGTCCATGACCAAGTCTGAGAAGATGTCTGCATCTATGAAGAGTAAGTTGACTAGCAGATTGACCATCCGCGGTTCACAAACTAATATAATACAGATCGTTGGGCCAATGGAAATATGGCTGGAGCCGTTGAGAAACGCAAGGCGACCCTGGCGGCTAAGAAGGCTGCTCAAGCGGCAGCCGAGCAAAGAACAGGTGTCGTCGCTCCCAACAAGCCTAAGGGCAAAGCCACTATCAAGAGAGAGTCTTCTCTCAAGATGCAGATGCAGCCAGACCAACAACAAATGCCACCGCAGCAACCTCCTATGCTGCACCAACCACCCCCTATGCATCCCCATCAGCATGAGCTTCCGCCTCACCAATATCATCCTCATCAGCATCAACATCAGCACCCGCCGCACCCTCTGCATCTTCAGCAGCAACCTCCGATGCACCCTGCTCACCCTCAGCATCTACCTCCTCCACCTCCCCCTCCTCCTCCTCATCAAACCGGCAACCCTCCTCCTCCTTTCATGCATGGCCACCCTCAACACCACAACCATGGTCATAGCCATGGAATGCCTGGCATGGGATACCCCTACTAAAGGATCCAAGAGCACGAAGCTGGTTCCCTGGCTCATCCGTTGATGAAGGCAACAGCAGATACATACAACCAAAAACCCCCAATCAAAAAAACAGCAATGACTCGAGCATCTGGCATTCAGGCCAGGAGCTCCATGTAACACTCACAACCTACCAAGAGACACGCAGTCTCACCGGGTACATACAACCACTCTGTATACTACGGAAAAAGACAAGAGAGGTTTTTTGGATGCAAATTCCGATGCACGTTTTTCTCTTGTACACTAGATGCGAAAAATCATCATTCGTTTCTTCTTTTGTTTTTAGTTTTTGTTTTTGTTATTTCTTAATGTTATACATAAGTTATGCATGCATGCGTTGGGGAGGGGCTTTGCATAATCGTTCGGCATGTATCAGAACGGTGACTGGCCCAAGATGGGAGGTTTATAGCGTGAGAAAAGGAGTGGCAAGCTTATTAGCAACCGCCTAAAAGACGAATCTTAATGTCAAGTTATATATATGAAATGTCTGTTGTGTTGTGTGATTGTGATTGTGTCGTGATTGGATGTGTAACTTGGACGATTAATGATAGTACTATCTAGCAAATATAGAAAAGTGAGACAAACATACTCTGAGCAGAATTAACAAAACTTAACGAAGGCTAGCGTATGGTCCCATTTACCGTTATTCGTCTGTACGTATCAATAGACTACATTGTAACATATCTTCCAACAGTCACAGAAGCAAATGGGCAACACCTAAATTTCCTCCATAGGGTAGATACTGTAAGAGCATGCATATTCTCATCTGCTCCTGAGCCAATCAAGATTTACACACAAGACTTACAACGGATTTGATACAGACTTGAAAATCCATGGATACGTAGTTCAAAGCTGATAGTACAGGTAATATGCATGCAGAGATTGGAGGTACATCAATTAACGTCACTTCACAGGTTCACGGCGAGAAGAATTGCACACAATTTAACCCAAAAAGAACACAACGCCCAGGGGAAATCGTTTGAAGTGACTTTTGTTTTGTCCTTGATGTGAATGCCTGGTATGTGAATCATCCTTACACGCCGCAAACCGAAATGCAAGAGCCTTGTGCCAAATCCAGCGACTTTAAAAGTAGTAGATAAAAAGAACATTGCCCCATTTTGAAACCCTCCGCCCGTTTCCCTACCATTTTTTTGGGGCAGGGAAAAAAAAAATAAGAGGTCTTGGGGGAGGGGGAACAGATGCTTCTTTACCGCGCTCTATCTGATCGCATTCGGGACAGAAACCCAACCACCACGCACCGCACGCCCTTTTGTCTTTCCTTGATTCTCTTTCGCAAGCAAGCACTTTACATGACGACACCGGAGTTGGAGGCAATACGCTGGGAGGTGTTAGTATAGAGACGAGAATGAAGAGTGGGAGTAACTTACGGGCCACAGCTCAGCAGCCTCCTTACCGACGGGGCCAGTGATGGCAGAGCCCTTCATCTCACCCTTGGGGTTGACGATCTATATCCGTTAGTCTCCGTTTTGTTTCTGTAAAGTCAAGTCTCAACATACAACACCAGCGTTGTCCTCAAAGTACAGGAAGACACCGTCGAATCGCTTCCAGGGCTTGGACTGTCGGACGATGACGGCAGGGTGGACCTTCTTTCGGAGCTCAGGCTTTCCCTTCTTGACGGTGGCCATGACCATGTCACCGACACCACCGGCGGGCAATCGGTTCAGGCGGGCACCGATACCCTTGACGGCGATGATGTAGAGGTTTCGGGCACCCGAGTTATCGGCGCAGTTCATGACGGCACCGCTGGAGAGGGAGTCAGTTTGGTTGGTTCGGAGATGATAGTGGGATGTTAGGTTTCGTACACAGGGAGACCCAGGGTCATCTTGAGCTTGCCACCAGGGGCACCACGGCTGTGAAAGTGAGTCAGTATTTTGTTGTCTTGAACATTTCGTCTCCCGGTGTCTCGTTCTCGCTATGTCGAATTTTCTGCCAAAGTTTGTCTGTGTATAAAAGGCTTCAATGTTGTTTGTGTTTGAGCCTCCGCAGTCGTCGAAATCGAGTTGAAAAATTCAAGGCATGAAGCAATGAATGTCGTCGTCACTAGTCAATCCAGTGATGCCGCATTTCTCATGATATTGTCGTTTTTCGTTGTGTGCGCAGACACAAAATTCGTCGTGACGTTCCCCGCCAAACCACCACTCAAAAATAATTTCCAACTCTTTGCGCATCGGAGCAGCCCATGACGGAGTTAAATTTGGCAGAGAAAGAAAATTCGAGATAGCGAGAAACGAGAGACCTAGAGTTGAAGCTGCTGAGGATGTTCGAGAGCTACTTACGAGATCTTGGCCATTGTGTCTGAAGGGTTAGTGTGGCGTTACTTCGTGAAAGAGGTCGTGGTCGGGTCTCGAGATGAACAAACTGACAGTAGCTTCAGTTTTCAGGGCAATTTGATTTTTCGTGGGGGACAAACCCTAGACGAGCAAGGCGGGAGCTTTTCACGTGACTGCACAATGGGTCTCGCCAATCAAATGTCACATTTCACCCAGCATTATTTCCGGTGGAGCCCTCACCACACAAGAACAGACCCATGATGCCACACATTTCTGACACTCTAGGCAATATAGTATGAACTTTCTACCGCTGCCTCCAACAAACGGGCTTGATGCCCGGGCGAAGCACGCCCGGTTAGCTCAATCGGTAGAGCGTGAACCTTTTCCAAGTACGCAATCTCAAGTTTGCGGTTTGGACCCCCGCATCGGGCTGTTCCTATACTATATCATGATTGAGAAGTGCTGTTTTTTTTGTCGTTTTTTGCATTGTCTATGTCTTGTGAGCAGTCAGTGGCATGCACATCTAGCAAGATACTGGTAACTCTTTTTTTCCCCCCCCCAAGCCATGTAGATATGAGCAGTTACCTATATGTATACAGAGTAGCAATTGCAATAGTTGTAAGTGGCAGAGCCAGTGTTTCTCTTCTATGGTTGAAGCTTAGTACTACCCTGGAATGATCGTGTTATTAAAAGATTTAACATGGTCAGCGTAACTCAGACTCTACTCATTGTCTAAAAATATATCTATATAGTTTTTTTCAAATTTTCTGTTTTTTTACAGTTCAATGATCTGGGTTTAGGCCTGTTAGTGTAAGTCCAAGTGTAATTTTGTTGTGTTGTAGAGTGTTCGAATTATTCGAGAAGCAACTTTGCTCACAACAGCTGGCAAAAGGTCTTTAATAACAATTTATTTTACTGATAATTGGACCTGGTTCGACTTATAAGACAATGGAGCTATTACTGTTCGACACTTCTCCTATCAGTTCAGACACCTTGTTTTATACGGATCCCCGCTTCGCCGGCCGGTATTTCGGGGCTGATCCAAAGCCATCGTAGAGCGGGACCTCGGCTCGACGTCACTTGAACCGCGCTCAGTCCTCACATGGTCCCTCTACAGGTCTTAACTTGTCCCTATTCTGCAAATCTATTGGTCATAAGTGAAACTTCCATAGTTGCTCATCATGTCTTTATTATTCTGTATTTCTCGGCGGTCTTTGTCACGTCAACTCTTCCGTGACACAAACTTGACCGCTCCAAGACATAACTTCAACTTCGTACCCCGGATATCTCTACCTGCCATGACTTCTAGAAGCAAATCTTCTTCAACGAACAAGCCCCCACCTTCAGAGCCACGGCCAAGTTCTTCAGTTCTCTTAGTCTCGCCGGTCAATGAGGTCCTACTCCTTCACCGCGTACACACCTCTACATCATTCGCCTCAGCGCATGTCTTTCCTGGTGGAAACCTAGATCCTTACCATGATGGGCTCATACCAGCTGAAGACTCACCAGAGAGACATCATGATGGTCTGGCGTACCGCATAGGTGCTATTCGAGAGACGTTCGAAGAGACTGGTATCTTACTGGCCAAGAAGGACAATGAGTTGATCAACTTGACTGTTGAGGATAGAGATACTGCAAGGAAGATGATACATGGAAACCAGGTCAAGTTTCTAGAATGGCTCAAGTCAGTAGGCGCTGAGCCAGACTTAGGTGAGACTGAACCGAATTTGAAAAAGTATGATCAAGTGATTGTTGACCAAGTATAGATGGCCTTATCCCTTTTACGCGCTGGATTACACCTGCAACCAACACCAAGCGCTTCACAACACAGATGTATCTTTATATGCTACCGCAGTCTCGAAGTGATATGCCATCAGAGATGCTTATCCCCACACCAGACAATGGCGTTGAACACACAGCCGCACTCTTTGCACCCCCACAATCATTCCTCTCCCGTGCCAGCACAAATAGCATCATCCTCTTTCCTCCACAGTATTATCTCCTCACCCTAGTCGCCAAAGTCTTTCAAAACTCAAAAGAATCCTCAGACGTACAAGGAGCACAACAAATAACGGCACAGAGAGAAAACTTACTGTCATTCCTAAACCGAGTACCGACAGCAGAGACGGAAAAGGGCCAAGCACACAAGACAGCCATGATTCCCTGGAGCGAAAAGGTCATGAGTCCACATAATATTTTCATTAGAAAACAAGACAAGAGGATAGTTCTCGGATTAGACAAACCAGGACCGGAACTCAGGGGCTCTGATAGAGGTGGTGATTGGGAGCACGTGGTCCTTGTTAACTTTGGCAAAGGAGGGCCAACTAATGTTGAAGTGAGGCGAAGAGAAGATGCCTTGGAAGAAGAGAGAAAGTTTAAAGCTGACAGCGAGAAACTATGAGTTTAACATAGACATAGAGAATGTCCAATAATACCAGGGTTTAGAACTACATTCACGATAGACCCATATAACAAGATCAAAATCCTGTATAAGTCTTAGTGAACTATGGGCAAAGTGCCGTAAAGTCTTTAAAGAACTATTGAGTTTATAACTCTATTATCATAAGGTTAGGAAATCTTTGCATGACCTACAGAAATATATTAGACTTTAGGCCATAAACTGGTCATAATTAGGAAAATGATAGCAAGCTTTAGGCAAGTATCATCCTAAACTTTACAAAAATCATATATAAGCACCGCTTCTATCTCAACACTAGCTTCGAATCTCGTCTTCTTTCACATCTTTTCGAGTTCCTCGAGCAAAAAGGTACAGACAAGCACCCGAACGCTTTACAAATTCACAACCGACATCCAATCAACAATACACGAACAATGCAACCTGATTCGCTCAAGAAGACCCTTGATGCTCTGAACGAGACAGACAGGGTAAAGATAATCGAGGAACTTAGCCTCATGATCTACGGATCAAACATGATCGAATACGCAGGTGGGAGTCTCGAAACAACCCTCCAACTGTGCCGTACGGTTTTTGAGGAAGAGGAATCACAGCCCCCAGAAGACGTAACCGAGCGCAACACCGAGTACGAAGATATTCGACAGCATTTGCAGAGCAGGAACCTTTCCACGACCCATGAGAGAGTCCTGCAAAGTTACCGAGAAATCGTGCAGCATGCCCAGGCTGCAAAATTAATGATTGAAAGTGTCTGTATTGACAAAGGTAAAGACCTCTCCGAGGCCATCATCAAAGAGGCACACGCCATTTTGACCTATAAGATCGATATAAATCCTCATACGCCTTGGATATACTACAGCGGAGTGTATCGTACTTGGAATGTGCGTTGCGGTGGACATATATTTATGGATGAGAACCGAGTCCCTGCTGCAATGCGCGATATGATCGAGGCCTTCGTATCAGATACACGCCTGGTCGATAAACTGTCCGCGGACGAGGAGGGATTCAGGTTTAGAATTTCTTTTGCCAGTAAATACTGCCACCGATTTGTTAACATCCATCCCTTTGCAGATGGAAACGGACGAATGTGCCGTTTGATTCTGAATACCCTCCTCATCAGATGGGGTATTGGGCCTGTGGCTATAGGAGTCAACCAAGATGACCGACGAGAATACCTGCGCATTACAGTCGATGCAAGTAAGTTGGATAACTCTCAAAGTCAAGAAGAGGTGGTCTTGGAGAATTATGGTGAGTTGGCAGAATTTGTGCAACGGCACGTAAGGGATGGGCAGCACTTATTTCAACTTATTCCGGGAAGCAATGAGTGAGTCTTGAAATATGGTTCTCGATGCCAAAGTAGTTCTTATAGATAGAAGATGGTCTAAATCATTACGCCCCATTCTTATTCCGCCGGGTATCATACAGGCATAGGCTTTTACTCCTAGTACACCCCTTTAATCACAATCGACTATCTGGCAACACAGTCTGTCAGCGACCGTCTACTTAAGTATGATCCTATCTACAAACCGCGAACATTCTGGCTCCAATTATGCCAGTTGAAATCATCTCCAATCATATCAACATCGTCCAGGCCCGTATTATCAAAGTTCGAGTTTATCGACGGGAACGGACCACCCCAAAGGTAAGGAGGGGGGTTGTCGTCTTTAGGGAATTGCATGGTCTGCGGCGAGAACTGTTGGCCAGTATCTCCTGGTTGCATTGCATCTTGCGGTAGCTGAGCTGTGGCAGGCATTGGCGTCAATCCTGTACTCATAGCCTTGATTTGAACAGATCCGACGTCCTGCAGTGGCCAGAAATTCATCATCGGGAAGGGCGTGGTGTCTGCCATTATCTCATTCATGTAACCTATAGTCGTATCGGAAAGATCGATCGTTCCAGGCACGTCATAGGCTGATGGGGTCCGAGGACGGGATGGCCCTTGTTGCTGCGTTGGCTGAAGCGTCGACGGTGGCATAATGGGGCTCAGCTCAGCTGGCGTCGAGACCGGTACGTTGCTTCCATCAGATCGCACCAGTATCTTCCATTTCTCTCTTATCTCTTCCATCTTGTTGGCTGCTCCGTCCGCATCTTGTCCAAATCTAGCTTGGTACCTCGGGTTCGTCCTCTCTTCAAATTCCAGCCGGCGTGCTTCTTCAGGATTTCCGCGAAGTCGAACAATCTCTGCCGCACGGTGCCTCTGAGCTCTCATATAAAGCTTCCTGATTGGCATTACAACAGTTGCATATTCAGCAGATCGCACCAATTGGCCTGGTCTGCCCTCATATCCATTGACGGCTTCCCACCCGCGCTCCACAAGAGGAGTCCATGGACGACGGCAGCTAGCTATGAGGAAATAGGCCATAGCTGACCAGTTGGTGTAGGTCTTGAACAGCCACCTAAACTGCTTAGACCTGGAATCGTTGTTCAAGATGTGATTATATTCGGCAATCTCAATCGCTGCAACATAGGCACGCTCTTTTGCCTCTTCCGAGAGTGTGCCTTCACCTTCAGAACCTGGAAAGAGGACAGGTTGGTAAATAACCAACGTCATCTTGGCCATGATGATACGAGCAATCGAAGCTGCCATCCAATGTAAAGGATTAGAATCGCCAGTGTGGTGCTTCAAAAACTTTTGCTCAACTCTCTGGTAAACTTCGATGAGCATACGCTCTCGCTCCGCGAGGCTGGAATCCCTGTAGGGCAATCCTTGGGGACAGAATGATATTGACGCGGATGATAGTCGAACAAGACGCCTGCCAAACCCAGCAATTTCAAAACGAACAAGCGCCAGAGAACAGTCCGAGTGGCCTTCTCTGGGCTCTGGGGCTTCTGTTGAATCGGGTTTGATATCGGTATCATTGATGTTGCTTGGCATCTGCGTGTCATAGTTCCAGTCTTGAATGATAAGATCAGTACCCAGCTCATCGGCCGACCGAAGATCCAATAAAAGCAATGCCCACCAGAGACGCCTTCGTATCTCCGTTTCAAAAGGGCTCAACTCAAAATGAGAACCATCACG